ACACAGGTTACTGAGACACAAAACTGGAAAACAAGTGGCACCACAAACATTCACTGAAATTAACATCAAGTTGCACTGCAGTTTGGGTGGGTGGAGAGAAGGAGAAAACAAGACGTAACCCAGTGTCCTCCCCTCTGTAATAACTGTGCCATTCACACAACCCATGGATGAGAAGCCCCAGGGACTCTCTCTAAGCACCCTGGGGCACATTTGATTCTGGCAAGTAAACTCCTGCTTTATGCTACCAACTTATACCAGTGACGTCACAGGCACCATGGTGGAGACCATTCCAGTCCACCCAGCCATGCGGAAAGAAGCCAGCGCCTCAGATGCCCTCTCAGGTGCTGCTTTAGTAACGCCACAGTTCGCACCGTGGAGGCAGGAAGGTTTGCCAAATGCCACGTTCCACCACTCTGGCTTTGTCACAGCCTTTCTCTGCACTGACCAGAGCCCTCTCGATGTGTCGCTAACATCAAATCAGAAGAACCCAGGCCCCGAGTGCTTCCGTGCATAGGGTCCCGCTGGCTGGGGCTTGTTAAGAGCCTATCAGAAGCTGCTTTGGACAAATAAAATGTACTAGATATTAGTGGCACTGCTTCTCTGAGAGGCCTTTAAAGACAATCACCTCTGGCTTGTACTAAGTGCTACAAAGAGCCGCCGCGAGCAAAAAGCAGGAAAAGCCCTGAACATGAGGCTTTTAAAGACAACAAGGGCTTTTAATAACTTTCGATTATCTTTTCTTGACCAGTGCTCTTGTGATTTTTCCAGCGATCAAGCCAATACCAAACCCTCCCATCAGAAATTCATAGTGTTAGACATTTGCTCCCTGTGGTAACATGGCAACAGCTCATTAGACTGCAAAAAGGCATGCCGTGTGACCCTGGTGCTAGAGTCTGCGGGTTAGAGGTCCAGGCTTGTCAGCACAAAGGGTAAAGGTTTTCAACAATTTCATCTTTCAGAGAATTCACCAGGGGCAGAGTGGGGAACAGAACCGACAGATCTACTGAGATACACTGCTGAGGGGAGCAGCAGTTGAGACAGGAGAGGTCTGCCGCACCATGTGGGTCACCTCCCTGGCCGGGGGTCGAACTAGTGCTGCAGTGGCTGCGGATAGCTTGCTAGCCTTGAGGCTTAACCCCTATGCCACCAGGGAGGCCCCACCATGAGCTTTCTAAAGTACAGATACTAGAGAAAACACACGTCTTGCGAACATTTCACCGATCTGACATGAAGGGTCTGGGTGTGGGAGGGTAAGAGGCTACGCTAGGGAGACGCCACAGGCAGGTTCCCATGTCCCATCTCTGGCTTCCCTTTCCCTGCCCAGCTAGCTGAGTGGGTTCTGCAGCTGGTAGAAGACTGAATGGTGCTTCAATGCAGGTTGCTGCTTTAGATTTTTGACTTTTGTTTTCTTTAAGCCAGTGCCTCAGCAAGACTCCTCACTGCCTATGAAGCTGAGGCTGTGTGTCCCTTAACTCGGTGGTCTTTTCCTTTGCTGGCTTTGAGTATCGGCCCTGAAGGATGAGGGAATGTCCTTGGTGAGACAATGATAATAGAATTATAGAGAGGAAAAAAGGGCGAAGCATAGCTTAGTAACATCTTTTTTTTTTCTTCCTTCTGCTAGAAAATGAGCTGAACGAAGGACAGGATAGGTTCTTCCTACAGAAGCTGATGACGACTAACCCATTCCTGACATTCCTGACGAAGACAACTTGCCTGCTTTATATTTTTCACACACACTGGCCTATTGAGCCCTCAGCACTGCCCCAGCACTGGACTCCCCATTCTCCTGGTGCCCCCCGCACCCCAGCACTGTGTGCACACCCACCTGTTTGGCCTGGTTGACACAACGCATGTACTGGTCGGCCAGAGCGGAGCAGCTGAGGGTCTGCTTGTTATTCTGGCGGTAGCACTGGAGGATTTTGGTCTGCAGATCAGCACAGACGGGATGAGACTCATAGCGCCTGCAAACAGAACCAGAACCAGAGACAGTCTTCAATCAGAATGAAGATCAAGGCCAAAGAATCTATGAAATAGTCACAGGATGCAAATGTTGCAAAAGTAGGAACAAGCTAACTTTCTTTAGTCTTTAAAGAAAGATCAAAGTTGCTCCCCCAGTAAAACTGCATGCAAGGTAAATGCTTTCTATGAAATGCTTTTCTCTTAATGGACTCCACTAAAAACCTCTCTGGACACCTAAGACCTGGCCATGTGAATGGTGCCATTCTCCTCAGCTGGCCAGAGAGACCAGACACCTGGGAACTCTGACTTCTCTCTCTTCCATTCCCATGGAGCAATGGCCATAAAGTCTGAGGGCCTGTGGCTTGGGCCTCCTGCTCTATAATGGCTATCTTTTCAGATTTCTTAATTATTTGCATCCTGGGTCCAAGCAATGACCTCCAAATGGGTCTCCTTATGCCTTGATTTACGTTTGATAATCCTGCCTCCCAGAATATTCTTCTTGAAGGTTCTTTCAAATGCATAAATCAATGGTAATATCTCTTTCTACTGCTTTCTAAATAAAACACAAGGTGAACAGGAAGTTGCTTCTTGATCAGGTTCCTGCCCCCGTTAGCTTGCACTCCCACCCTGCACACTGCCAAAACCTGGCCAAAATGCACTCAGGGTTTGTTTCCTACATGCCCCTCACTCATTCTGCTCAGGTTTGGGAATCTCCTTGACCCAAACTCTCACCCATTCCTAGGTACCTGGAAAGTACCTCCACCTCTTTCAATTCTTGAGCTGTGGCGTGATAGTTAATCTTCTCTTTAGAGCTTTCACTGTTTCCCCATCAATGGCAGAGCCTGTCATTCCCTTGATGATGACCTAAATGATCTTGTACTACCATCTTTCACCACTTCTTCCATCTTCCACTCAGTGCTGACGACAGTACTGTATAGTCTAGTCAACAACCACTGTCTCCTAGACTGCAAGTCCTAAGGAAGACTGCCTTGTACTCCTGGTGACCCAGCTAGTGATATATCGCTCTCACAGAAGTCATTCAATAAATTGTTGAGAATACAAATGGGTAGAGAGGGAGAAAACATTTTTAATTCCCTGGGCTAAAATTTCACTAAATTATACTTATAAATCTCTGATTTTAGTTAGAATGCGTTCAGTGAATACATAGTACCAAATATAAATGCTTCGCAAAAGCTTAGAATATACACTTGAAAAATGATAATAATAAATAAGCCAAATGAATTACACAAACAGAAATGAAATATTTTTAAGATGGAACTTATTTTAAGAGGATCTTGGATTATGAAGATGATGCACACACTGAGAAAATATACAATATTATCACTTTTAATCTAGAAATTCATATTTTTTTTCAAATTAGTTTCATGTAATACAAATGGCTTGCAGTTTTTCATGTCAGTTTTTTTAATATTTAAATTTGTTATTTCCAAAGCAATCTGGAAGTAGCATTACTTTAAATTTAATGCATTCTTCAAAAAAAAAAAAAAAACCCTGGAGAACACGAGGAAGAATATTTCTCATCAATAAGGAAGCCCCTGGGTGACTATTTGTCTCCTCATTACTTTTATCCAACACACTAAGTTAATATATACTTCACTAGAATAGAAAGCTGAAATGCAAACCACGTTTCTGGTCCCAGAGGGAATTTACTTCTTACTACCCCCTAAAGAAAGCAGACGTACAGGGGGGAACTCATCCCACAGATTTTACATAACCTCACTTTTACTTTTTCATTCATTACCTTTCTCCTCTGCCAAATACCTGAGAACAGAATTTAAATCCAATCCCGGAGGGTTTCAAATTTTTTTCCTTTCAAATTACCAAGTTCATATGTCTATGGATTTTTCCTGGGCACAGTTCCCCTAATCTCTCCCATGAACACCAGTATCTAAAAGGAGTCATCTGGGCTTCCATGAGTAAGAGCCCGGACTCCACTGAGCTACCCCACAAACATCTGGGTAAACGGGGGGCGGGGCAGGCGGATAACGTGACTGAGCGTCAGGTCGGCTAAACCAGGCAAAGCATGACGAGAACCCAGAGCTCACACGGGCAAGTGGGGCTGTGTCCTGCACATGGCCCATCCTCCCTCCAACATCCAATGCCTTAGACTAAAAGGCAGGGGGAAGGAAGATGTGGAGAGAAGACTAGAACTTTCCTCACCAGATATACAGCCCTCCCCATTAACGTGCATGAAAAGAAATGAAGGAGGAGCTTCCCTACACTGCTCATCATAGAGTAGACCGTGTGCTTCTATTCACGGAGGGTCCCTTCTTGGGCACGATGGCTCCCGAGGAAGAGCTAACTTAAGTCATATGGAGGCACTTACTGGGTGCTCAGTTACATTATATGAGCAATGTAAGTTAAAGTCTATGAGTTATTTATGATTTGAAATGTGTCAAAATATACTTTTATTACCACCAATCGATAGGACTCACTTGCAGGGCCCTTGATTTCCTGTCTGGTACTCTGTTCTCTCTCTATGTATGCTTGCACGTGTATGTGGCCCCCGAGACATCTTCTGAGATCCTTCTTGTACACATTTCAACCTCTATAGGTGATTAGATGGCAGGAAGGGGGCAAGAGGCTTGGAAATCAACATAATGGCCCCTGCTCCTGGAGTGGGGTCTGACACATTTTTCTTGGATTAATCTGTAAGGGCAAAGCTCGGCCTCGGTATTGATCTGCAAGGCTTGTTATGTTGCCCTAATGCACTGTTTTCACTTTGGGAAAATGCTAAATGAGATTACCGTCGAACATTAGAAGGCCATAAAACACCAGCAATGGCACCTCCCATTCAGGAAAAGGGTTTCAGGCATTTCCAATATGCATTATGGTAAGCCTTCCAACAGTCATGGAGTTAGAAATTGATTTTTCTTGACTGCTTTCATGCTTGTTGATGGAAAAGGCCACGGATAGGCAAAAAATAACAAAAGGCAGAATGTTAAGTTATTTAAGAGTGAAAATTAAATCTCAGCTTCAAGACTGCAGCTCATTGTATGGAGAGATGATTAAAAGAAATGGTGAATGTAGAATGTTAAAGAGAAAGATGAAATACAAATCTGCAATGAAATGAGAAAAAAG